GGTCTCGCCTTCGACCATACCGGGGACGTATTTAGACTCGCCCATGAAGAAGACGCTCTTCAGGCGACGGCATTCCGCATCGGCAAAGCCTACGAGCCCAAAATCTTCTGGGCCATCCTCGGTGTTGGAAGTATCCATCTCCTGATGCTGGGCATAGAAGGCATCATGAAGGCCAGGAGCATCGAGAGCCGGCAAAGGCAGCGCATGGGCGACGAGAGCTGCTGGAAGAGGTTGAGGAGGATCCAGGGCATCGTAGTGCGAACGACGAGGAGCCATGGGAGGAGCCGACGTGCGGGCCCGCCAAAATTCACGAATGGCAGTCCACGAAGGGATAGCTGGTGTCTCGAAGTCAATACGGCGATCGATGGCAGAGGGAGCCTTGGACTTTGGATTGACATTCCAGATACGCACAAATGGGTTAGCAGTGGTCACCGGCTGCGAGGAAGCACCAGGCGAAGTGGACTCGGGCAAGGATTGCAGAGCCGAAGACGGCGTCGTGGGAATTGAAAGAGGTGGCAGGCGGTCAGGGAAGAGTGCAGGAGACGAGAAAGAGGAAGAGGCTGCATGGGACATACAAAAACCGGAATGGCCAGGCATGGGAGTGACGCTCGATGATGAGGCACGCGAAAGCACAGGCGCGCTCGCCGAAGGTGCAGTCAGACCGGGTGGAGCAGGGAGAGCAAGACGACTAGGCGTGAGTCTCGCTTCAGCCTGAAGTGCAGGCGCCGGCATCAAAGCACGAATGGAGGCCCATTCCGACTGGTACCAACGTGGCCACATCAGCCATTGTGGACTAATCAACGAGGCGCAGGCGTGTTCTAAGCTATCTACTCGTTCCTTGACGCTAGATGCCGGCAAGGCAGACCAAGTTGCCTAGGGATATCGGTCAATGAAAAAGGACGGCAAGGAGACGCTAGGCTTACCTGTAAATCAACGAGACGATACATGGCCAAACGACGCGATCCATCATCATAGGGAGCCTCAATATAATTGCACAGCACACCAAACAAGACCATTACCAGCTGAGGCACCATGGGAGGCGAGAAATCGGGCTCCAAAGCATCGCGAACCATTGGAAAATTGTCATGCCAGGTAGAGTCGAAGGGCTTGGCCCACGAGAGCCACGAGGCGTCGGTGAAGCGGTACAACTCAGTCGTGAAGACGTTGCAGACAGCGGCGAAGTGCTCGGACGACAAAATTTTGGAGGTTTGAGCGGCGGTCTAGCGCATACTGTCAATCATAAGGCACGGCGATGAAAAAGCAATACTCACGATCATTTCGCCAACTTCGCGCGTGGTGTCGATGCGACGGTGCAAGGGCTCGCTGATGTCGATCATGATAATGGCGAAGTCATCGGCGGTCATCTCGCTAACAGCAGAAGGAGTAGTGCCCATGAGAGTACTGAGTAGAAGTGGGCGAAAAGGGAGGCAAAACAATGGGGGAGCTGGCCGCGCATCCCCACGACCTTATCCGTAAGCTCGTCAATGCGATCGATATCGATAGCACCGCGTGGACGAACTTACCGACATGCGCCTGCAATATCTATTCACCGACGCGCTTCTTGAAATGCCACCGAGTTTATTCCGACTTCGCAGGGCTCGCCGATAGCCAAAATGATCGGCCTAGGGACCACGTAGTAGGGGGAGTTTTGAAATTGAGGATTGAGGAACCTCAATCCAGAACTCGAAAACGTGCCTCCACGCTAGTGCACTCCCGCCGCTGGTAGTAAAAAAAAAAAAAAAAAAAAAAAAACGATGGTGACGACCGCCTCGTAGTCTTTCTTTTTGTTTGATTCTCTCCCTACGAGCGCGGTTTCCCATCACGCTGTCTGCCGATGGTGACGACCCCCTCGTAGTCCCTTTTTTTGTTTGATTCTCTCCCTACGAGCGCGGTTTCCCGTCACGCTGTCTGCCGATGGTGACGACCGCCTCGTAGTTCCTTTTTCGTTTGATTCTCTCCCTACGAGCGCGGTTTCCCGTCACGCTGTCTGCCGATGGTGACGACCGCCTCGTAGTCTTCTTTTTGTTTGATTCTCTCCCTACGAGCGCGGTTTCCCATCACGCTGTCTGCCGATGGTGACGACCGCCTCGTAGTCCCTTTTTTTGTTTGATTCTCTCCCTACGAGCGCGGTTTCCCGTCACGCTGTCTGCCGATGGTGACGACCGCCTCGTACTTCCTTTTTCGTTTGATTCTCTCCCTACGAGCGCGGTTTCCCGTCACGCTGTCTGCCGATGGTGACGACCGCCTCGTAGTCCCTTTTTCTTAAGCTTATCTCACTATCTCTAGTGCGGTTTCCGTCACGCTTGTCTGCCCGAAGAAAAAAAAACCGACTTGCGAAGAATGTTTCGTAAAGCTACCTTCTTCCATAGTATTTGAGCTCCGGATGACCAGGGACCTGATAAAAGCGCACTCACCAATGTGATATGGTAGCTATCACATATAGACGAGCGAAAGATCGTTCAAGAACCTGTATGTAGGAAAGAAAGAAAAGAATGGGGGCTGAGAATTGTGTACGTAAAAAAAAGAATGAATGAATGATATACGGTTTTTGTACTGTATTGACGAGTATATGATTTTGAAATATTTTGATATTTTGATGCAATATAGATAGACACAGTAAATGGCTGTTGCTGTGAAAATGGGGTACGAGTTTCATAGGGCTTATATAAGAGTGAGCACAGGCTTGTTCGTAAATGTTCAGCAAGGAAAGGGAGACGTGGTTTAGCCGAACGACTGTCGGTGATGACACGGCAACCAAATGAAAAAAGGAACTGTGAGTGGGAAGTGTCGTCGAGATGATGAGATGGGAGCCGGGTGTGGTTAGGCAACGACTCGGAAAAGACCTTTGAAATGTCGAGAAAAATATGGGCTCTGGGCTCTGTGGATGTGTGTGGTGGTCGAAGCTAAGTTTTGTATACAGTATATGAAAGAGATATATATACAGAGCGAGTGCCTGCCGGTGGATTATTCTGTGTATAGACCGAGGGAAAAAAGATTTTGTGTGTTTGCGAGGAAGCTCGTACTAGTAAGTAGATGTAATCATATACAATCCAGAGAAGGGTGTTAGTAGTTGAAAAGAAAGGAATGAGAAGCGAACCGTTCGAAACCTATGCATTACACAATATGAACGACGGAGAAATGGGGCGAAGTTGGTGGGTGGTGTATTGATCTAGAAATATTGAAATATGTAAGTTGAAATGCTGCAACAACAAGGGGAAGGGTAGAGGAAGTAGCTATTAGCGGCTTCATATGGATGTCCAAAGGAAATATTGGATGCCTTTCCCCAACGGTCTGAAACTTCAGACTTAGTTATAAATCGAGATCTGATAGGTTATGAAATTCCGGTAGGGAGACTTTTCAAACCCCAATGGTAAAGTACAAAAGTACAAAATAGAATAAATGTCAACGAAGGCTGTAAATTATACTTTTAAGTCTCCGAGCACACTACAATGCAATATACCGTCAAGCTCGAGTGCGGCATCCACCACCATACCATCCGTTATATTGTATTTTGCCATGCATGACTGGAGTGAGCATGCGGCGGCAGACTGTTGGCTGCAGATGATCCACACAAAAAATTGGCCCCAAGGTCGGACTTCAACAGGCGGCGCAAATTACTAGCTACAAATGACATGTGCGAGACATCGACATCGACGCCCAACAGTTGGCACGGCCTGTCGATGCCTTCAAGCGCACGGTTGAAGGAGCGAGCAGATTTGGTGAAGGTAGAGTGGATCAATTTCTGGCGCACCAGAATGATTGATCAAAGGTGTCCGAACAACATTCCCGATCAGTTTGACGGCACTCCTACCACTTTGGGCGTCTGTAATCTACAATTTGGTGTTCTGAAATCTGGAGAGGGGTGGGGACCCTCTTTCCAGACTCAAGATCTCGCAAGATCTGTTTTCTACTTCGGTCGCATTATGGAGATCTCATCGAGATCATGCAAAATCTGGGAGGGGGTCCACGGGTTCGCCGTCAGATTTTTGTCACTCGTTCCAAATGTAAAAACACCGAATCTCGTTCATATATGGTAACTCCGCAGCACGGCATCTCGGCAGATGTCGTTTGAAACGAAATCTGAAACTGAAAAGGCCTTCCAGACGTTGGGGAAAGGCATCCATTGTAGAGGGAAATGGCATTCCGATTATATAAAGGGCAAAAGTAAAAGCCTTTGACAGGGAAAAAGCTTACAAGACTATGTCGATACATCAGGAGGGAGTCGAACCCCCGCCGCCTGCTTAGATGGTATCTGTTGTCATGATGGAAGGCAGGCATGATAACCGTTTCACCACTGATGTGCATTAAAGCAAAGCGAGAATGAAATACATCAATATATATATGCGAAGTTTTCACGAATTATTTCTACCAAGGATATATACATTCCTCGCAGTGCGTGCTATAGGGAGATCGAGAACGGGAGCAAAAAGATAGATGATGGAATGGGCGTCGCGTGGCTGTGGGGAGTCCCAAAACCTCAACATGTCGTGCGTGCGACTACTCCAGATTCTTGAATCTCCTCTATCGTTTATGTAAACCCACTCTGGCCCGTGGAAGAAGCAGCCCAACGATCTCAACTCCGCTGTTGTGAAAATTTGTGATACCCCGTTCTCACGACGTCCGTGGTGTTGTCCTCCGACCGTGGGAGTGGGAGTATGGGCACAATAGGGCGCCGCCCCACGCTTGTGTTTCGAGGTGCGCAGAGCTATGTGCTTTGGCCGACTGCTGGATTATATCCAAAACATTCACTTTTAGGACGCACTTGGTACCCATGAATATCGAGGAGCTGTGTTCGTAAACACCGTCGGTGACAGGTTGCGCTTCATTGAAACGAAGTAACGTGTAAATGCAGATGCCTCAAAGGCAATTCGAATTGGTATTCGTCGCACTAGCGGGTATCAGCCAGACATCCCCTGACACTGATGGATGATCCTTCCCTCGTTTATCTTCTCTCCGAAGCTCGGCCTATAAAATGCAGGACATGGCCATCCCCATTTTTTCGTGGCCCGTCCAGGTGTCCCTTCGTGCTCCTCTCATCTACATCACTATCTAACTTATTGTCCTGCCTCGTCTTTCTCCAACTTTTCATGATGTGGCGTCCGACAGCAGCGACGTTCAGTATTCTCTGTTTCCTTTCTTCTTCGTGCGCGTGGTCCGTCGCGCCCTTACAGCTTGACCCCGGATTCTCGATCGCCAAGGTCGCGGCGCAGGCCAAGTCGCTGCCCAGTCATTCCTGGGAGTTCGGCACCGCTACGGAGACGCTGCTCGAGCTCTACAATCTCACGTACAGCGTCTTCGGTGACACGCCCTTCCCGGTGCCCACATTGACACCGTCGGACGTACCCTCCCTCGCTTATGCGCAAGAGAATATCGTCATCGGCACAGGCGCGAACGGGCTCTCTGACGGCGACGGTGCAGTTGGCGACCCCGCCAGTTTAGGCGTCGGTGCTGTCATGCTCGGCAAGACGAATGAAACATTTGCGGCAGTTGCCAATGAGGAGATTGATTATATCCTGAACGACGCCCCACGTTTCTGGAACGACGCGATTTCTCAGCGTTCGGACGTCGCCGAGCTTTGGTGAGTAAGGCATTTCTTTCTTTGTGGTCACATCGCCTTTCTTCGTTTTTTTCTGACGGAATTCGTGTGTTTCGCTAGGGCCGACTTCATGTACATGGCCCCACCGTTCATGGCGTACTATGCGGCTGACAAAGGCAATGCGTCGTTGTTGCGGGAGACGGTCCGCCAATGCGGTCTGTACCGTCAAATCCTGAAATCGAACACGACGGCGAATTACACCGGCCTATGGGAACACATTGTAGGCCCGCAAAGCGCCGACCCTGGTCTCTGGTCTACTGGCAACGCCTGGGCAGCCGCCGGCATGGTAAGCACCTTGACATGCAATTTGTGGTGGGAAAGTAACTTGTCTGCTCATCTGACAACTGAAGGCCCGCGTCCTCGCGACCGTCATAAAAGCCCCCATCGCGCGGGACACGGACTGGCGGTCCTTTGCTATCGCCGATCTCACGTCGTGGATCCGGGAGATTTTGGACGGCGCAATTGCCGCGCCACACGTCGGCGGGCTGCTTCGTAACTACCTCAACGACACGAGTGGCGACGGTCACGGGTTCGGCGAAATCAGCGGCTCGTCTTTGCTCGCATCGGTCAGCTACCGCATGGCTGTGCTCGCGCCAGACACGTTCGGAAGCAAGTACACAGATTGGGCGGAGAGCATACGCATGACCCTCGGTGGCACCGACGCAGATGGCAACCCGCATATTACGAGTGACGGCATCGCTACGCCCGCGGTGGACCCCCTCGATTGGTTGTCCACGACGCCGTACACTGCAGGCTCTCCGGAAGGCCAGAACTTCGTCGTCCTCATGTATGCGGCGTGGCGCGACTGGAAGACTTCTGACGGCGCTTCGGACAGCGTCCGCGTGCGTGACGAGCTTCCCCATGTGCGTGGGGAGCGCTCATCGTTCGCGTATGAGTGGTAAAAGGCGTCAGCGCCCATTTTCTTTTGCACATCTATCTATAATTGTCTTCTATGCATCCTACATCACTGTCGCTGCAATTACTGTCCTGCATTCATGGTTTTTGTCACGCTCGTATACCACTGGATCGCTTTTGCTAGTTCGCTGTGCATTCGTTCCTTCTATTGGCCACGTTTATATTTATACAGAGTAGCGTACGTTCATTGCCGTTTGGTGGCTATCATGATAAATAAATAAGTCTGATTGTCACGTCTAATTTCTTTCTTTTGAGATGTTCTAAGAGTGGCATTCGTGCTCGAGGTTGAGAAGCAAATAAATAACAGCATCCTCATCGCAGATGAATTGAAGTGGGCTTGCTTTCGATGACTCGTTGATCCAGAGCTTGACAAAAGTGAAACATTTCCAAAATTGGCTACTTCTATGTGTTGCATGCCAAGCAGCCAATCGCAATGCCACAATAACTACACAGCACGTGATATAATATTTATTTGGCCTTCGAAATGGGCACTCACACGGCTTCGCGAACTCTGCCCACAACTCGAAGCCAAATATTGTATGATCTGTTACAGATAAGTCGCAAAATCTTTGCTTATATACATGTTATCGTACAACCAAGAAAAAATGCCAAGAATTAGTTGCTCTCCAGACCGGTGGCCACGAAAACGAAAATGGAAACGAACAAACCCAGAGAAAGAAAAACTCTGTTCACGTTTGTGTTTTCGAGATCCGATGGAGAGCAGACGAGGATATGATACAAGGTATAAACAACTAACACAGCGAAGTGAGAATGTGGGTCGTAATGGCGTCATCAGCAGAACGGAGGAGACGAGAGAGAGGCTTGATAAGGTGAATAACGAGGTAGGGGTGCATGGGCGGAGGTGGAGGGGCTGTAGATAGCAGACGTAAATTCGATGACATAGACATATGGTGCGGGAAGCAGGACTGCGACGATGGATGAGAGATACACAAATCGGGAGTGAGGGCGGATGACGCCAGACAGGATATCCTGAATAAATAGGCATACGGAGCATCCGGCGCTTGAGCGCTGTTAGCAGATGATGCACGAACCGCAGCACCTCGCATCGTCTGGCATATCTGCGCCATTTCCCCGACGCAGTTGCTTTTTGAAGTCCTTGTCATCTGTAGGCAGCGCGCACGGGCGCACGGACAGATGCACGATCGTCGGGCCCGGAGATGGAGTGTTGGCATCGGGAATGTGGGAGGGGATGTTCAGTCCTGCTGGGCACGTGAACTAAGTAGTGGAGCGAGCACACGACAAGAAGCCGAGAACAGACGTACCCGATAACGTTTCTTCGTCCTGTAGGATCTTGCCGAGATGCAGCAAACGCAAGTGGGAGGGTGTCGGTGGCCGCTCGTCTGCCCATTCTGCGGGGAAAGTGATCGGCTCGTCGTCGACGGAGATGAAGTTACCCGACGCTCACCACTTGGCCAGCCGCTCCATACGAGCTCTTTGACCCGACCGACGGTCGTATCGGGGTCGAAGTTCATGTTGCGTCTTCGCGCAGACACAGTGAGGAAAGTGATCGCGGTCTGGGGTATGCGTGGCATAGACGGTGCAGGTTCGGCGGCCGGAACGATGTGCGAGGTGGGCTTGTCAGAGCCCTCACTTTCGCGAACTGAGCCGGGTCTGGTAGGAACATTGTCCTCACTGATGGCACGAGCGACGACCTGTGCTGACATAGCTGAGATAGCTGTGGTGGGTCTATCCTGCTCTTCCTCGACGAGTGGGAGGTTGACGCGGGTGCGGGAGGTACGTGCAGAAGCTGGAGTATCTTGATAGATCAAGCGATGCCTTGCCGCAAGCCAGTGGGCATGCGCGTCACCTGTCTCGGAACGCGAAGCGGGAAATTCTGGTGGATCGAAGACGGACGACGGGATCAGTACCGCGGGAGGCAGTGAAGCTTCAACCGCTGCTGCTGATGGCCCCGACGACAAGTGCTGCATACTATGTGGTCGCAAACAAAAAGCGTGGGGGATTATCTACTCGAAACCACGGGTTGTGGCTAGAAGACCGAGGCGTTTAAGACGGCTGGGCAACTGGAGTGCAGGCTCCGGGTAAGACAGAAACGCTAAGACGTGCGGGGAGTGGTTCCTCGACGGAGGTGTGCTAGGACTTCATGTACATTTGGTGTGTGCAAGAGATCCAGACACACACAACGACCAAGTTACTTTGCGAAGAGGAGATGCAGGATGGCCAGGCCCATGTCAAGAGGAAGAAAGTGCAAGTGACCTCAAATGGGCCCGAATCGTCCTGAGCCAGCCACAGCCAATAGCCGGGAGCAGTTTTGGAAATTTCGATCGTTCATCACCGCACCGGTGCACGGGTCTCTCCCTTTCTATCTCCGACAAATTTTTTTATTTCTGATTTCTGTTGCGCCCGTTGACAGCTGTAAATGCCATCTGGTATTGCAACAAGACAAGTCAGCTGCTGCCGATGTCATGGACTTCATGAGCATCCTGATATTATTACAACTGCCAGGTGGATGCGGGGAAGACCATGCGAAATCGAGCCCCGTGGGCTTTCGAAAGAACATGCGCCACACTGTATTGATCATGTTCTGGAATGACCCTCGATGGTCTGTTGTCGCAGTTCTGCAGCCCAGGACTTAGAGGATCCTTCCCAGCTATTCGCTCATCCTGAATGTTTTACCCACCGGAATGCCATGTTTCCATGACTGAACCTTAAATAAATTCGAGCTCACGAAACATGTCGGTGCATGCATATACAGCGCAAGTGATCCTTCAGAAAGTACATGAACGGCCGTTGACTCTTATATCCGACGCC